GCTTTTTTAAACTAAATATAACTTCCGTTCCTGACATTTCTGTTTCAGAATCCATTTACTGGCCGGAGTTAAAAAAAAATCTGTCATCAAATTCCTTTCACTTGTTCCATTCGGTAACAGCTGCCGCCGACGGTCTTTCGGAACCGTTACGGCCTGGGAACCTTCAAGAAGAGAGCATATTCTTTCCTAAAAGGCTGGCTACACATTTGCAAACCCTCCGGCGTTGCAGGTGTTCATGGGCAGCGGTGATAACTTACCATCAGGGGAGCCTCCTGCTGGTTTGCCCTTTATATTCCATAAAAAGAAGTGAAATTTCTTCAAATCCCACATCTAACCTCAGTGTTTCTCAGAGCAAATGTCTTTTTAAACGGTTTTATGTAGCTCGACCCGTACGGAATTTATTTGTTTATTTGGGTCAAAATTAGAAATTGAAATTTAAGTACCTTCCGTTTGTCAAATTGATCTGAAATTTGGTACACACATTTAATTTAGATGACAATATAATATTGTAGTTTTCAGTGCACATAAAATAAAACCGTTTAACTTTAAAGTTTTTAAACGGTTTTATCCTCAAATCCTATTACATACAAATTTCAGTTGTTAAATCCTACAATTATACTCAGTTAGCACATACTGACGTCCATCTTTATCGAGCCAATGTTTCAGCTACGTGATCCGTCTCAACGCAGTCGATTACCGCAGAACGTCACGCCCAATTGACCACGCTTCGAGGGAGCTCACTTTCACTCCACATACGACGCTCCCCACCCTGCTTCGTCCGCGTTACTCGTCGGTTATTGGACAAGAAAACTCCAAGGGTTAAAGGTTAACACTTTAAATTTATCTAGGACTGAAAGGCTACGACAAAAATGTAGCAAGTTAAAAGCTAATTTTTAAGCCTGAGCAAGGGTTATATTTGAGCCTCGTAATGGATAAAGATTAAATTTCGATACGGCTTATTAACAAAAACATATTCTTTTAATATCACAAGAAACCACTACCAAGTAAAAACAGCAAAGTCCAACTCGTTGAGCTAAGATGATATAAGTACCTAAAATAGATTACGGTTCGATGAAGAACTGGAAACTAAAAATATAATCAGTTTCACTTTCGGACGTACACCACTCATATACGCGTATGTATGTAAATACATTCATAGAGATAATTAAAACAATCACCGCGGATTTGACTTTGAATTTTATTTTAAATGGTGCTAACAGCATCCACTATTGGTTATGGAATAAACTTAGAAAATCGTCATGCCCTAATCATTCGTTATATAAAAGATTTGATGACAATTTCTCCCGCGTATGTCAATAAACATTCCTCGCGGTTCACACATCAGCACAGCGCATCGATATTTCGTAACACTAGACGCATTACCCGGCGATCGTTGCGTACAATTATTAGATATGAAACATTGAGTAAACACTGTAATACTAGCAGTTACCTACAGCGTTTATATTACTTTCGTGATATTACTAAAGCAAATTAACTTTAATAACAAAAATGGCCTCGCAATTGGTTTGATTATTTTTAACAAGCTATTTGTGTGTTTCTATATCCTATTTACACATTTTTATCTGCTCTTTTATCTATGTTCTATCCGTTTTTAGGATTTCTTAGATACAAATACAATAATACTTTGACATTAGGACGACAACGCTCATCTGTCACTTCGGAAATATATTCAATGAAAAATTTTTCTCTAAAGATGGACATATATGGAAATGAACAGCTAAAGCTAAACGTACATGAAATGGATTCTTATCGTTAGTAGCTAATGATCATTGTAAAAACAATTGAAAGTCGGTGATCATGTGACAGTGTAATTTACTGTTGCACAAAGGTGCAGTCTTCAGGGAAATATCACAGCCTCGCAGAAGACCTAGCCTGTAGATTTAGGTAACCGTAGCCGATTTTTAAATGTTGTCAAATACTCCGCGGTTAATCAATAAAACGATGAAGTCTGAATCCAGAAGTCGTGTAAAAACTTACTTTCCTCGTGTCAATGTTTCGTTGGGCTGTAAATAGCCACAACGCGTCAAGTTTCCTTCGAAGGTTCACCCGTTGACATACTGCGGGTGGGCAATTTAAATGCCCACAAAGCAATTTGCGGCAAGGGCGCATTGAAAGCCCTCGGCCAATAAACTTAATGAAAAAGATGAATTTCCGTACGAGTGAATAATGTATGCGGAAACGAATTAACTTTAAAAAACTTCTCGAACGATCCGTAACTCCCTTCGTACTAGATTCTTCGATGGCCGCGATGTCGTAGAGACAAATTACGAATTTGATATTTATTAGAATATACATATATTTAAAACGAATATATTTAAGCATCGATAACATCCATATTTACCTATGTAGTGAAACAAAAATTAATGGCATAACTAAAGTCATCTTTTTCCCGAAAAGCGCTTCTCACGTAATTAAGAATTTGCTGCATCGCTTACACTTTACAAAGTCAGTAACATTAAAATCGATAAGATATTAGGCTATCAAGATATTTTTCGATAATCTGTTAGCGATCGTGAAGATAATTTGTGTAAAAAAAGCAGACATTTTGCACGCCATCTCAGAGCGTGAGTTAACGTCCCAGCCAGCGGACCGTGACTTTTTTAACGGTTTTATAGAGAGATCTCCGATAGTTCCTTGGCCCCACTAAGCGCAGTGTTCTTCATTTCACTGTCGTGTTTCATTTCAATTATGTGTACTGAAGTAGAACAGTTTCTTTAACTTCTCATCTACGATTACAAGCGTGCTGGCATCACAATTGCGCCGCTCACAGCATATATATATGTCTTAAACTCACTTATCGCACAATTTACATACACTTCGAAGTAAAGCCATTTGGCCTGTCAATAGCCAGAGATTAACGATTTACGTTAATTTAAAAAATAAACAGTCTTTTCGCAATTTATATTTTACTAACCCCCATTAATGTATCACCAACTGTAAATGTCAGTCAAGAACTGGAAATATATGTAATAACAACATATGTAGCACCAGTTTGACTAAGATGATGTCATCAAACATTTTAATATTTTAGCCTTTTTAATTAAAAACAAGTACTAATTAACCTATAGAACATCTTTATATTTTTTCAGTGTGAATATAAAGAGTATTAAAATCCAAAAGTAAATATAACACCGAATCCTAGCCAATTATCACAAAATTTATAGCCTTATCTATGATTTAAATTTTAGATTGTATATTTTAGTGGTCATCTTACCCAAGGTTAGAGTATGTAATGAATAAACAATCTTCTGTTAGAATTCATACATTCACAAGCTGAATTCCACAAGATTACGGAAAGAATCATCAATATTTACCCAAAAAATATAAGAACCTTCCTATCAGTTCCGATCAGTCATTCAGTCCATAAAAGATGTTTTCTTTATAAAAGTAAGTCGAAAAAGAAAAGGAGATCTGTCGAAAATTCTTGTGCTTTTATCAAGACCCAATTTTCAAAAGGTTGTCAACGTATCTGTAACCCTCGGGTGTAGGAGATGTCCATGGGCGTCGGTATTCACTTACCATCAGTTGAACCGTGTGCTCGTTTGGCAACTTAATAAAAAAAACCGCTCCGCTGAGAACTTTGAGATCACACACTTTATAGCCAGGCAGCCTTCCATTGCACCTGAGTACTAGTAATTTGGTAGTCATAAAAAATATGCGGCATCATCCTTCAACGGAGGTTACCATATAATTAAGCTTTCAGCATGTTTACTCCCAGTTGAGTACAAAGAACTTTACTGAACGTGTGTATTAAATGTGAGTAAATAATTTGGTGAATGCATATACCAATATAATGTCAAACGATTATAAACCTTTGATGCCTTTGTTGTTATTATGTAGAGTTTTTATGAGATCATTGAATTTTTAATAGTCCTCAAAGAAAAGATCGAAAAGATCGCAGAGGAATCGAGTAATAGAGTGCTATTACTCGATTATTCTGCGACCTTTTAGCGGCAAATTTTACAACATAAAATAAATATATACAATTTTTTTTAAATAAACTTTCTATTTAGATCAAGGTATAGTTGGATTAATTAAATTTATTACATTGAAACTTTCAAGTAGAACTGAGCTTAAGTCTGTTTTTACTACAAACTGCTAAGAAGGGTAGCTATAACATAAGATATAATATAAGATAATGCTATAAGAAGGATAGATCAATTTATGCTTCGCAAGTACAAATAACACTAACAAACCACTATGTTTTTAGATCTACAAGGAAATATCCACAGCACTTCGATATCCTGATTCTTTTAAATGCCTACTAAAGTTACCAGAAGTCATCATATAGCCAAGACATTTTAAACTGTAATGTGATACTCAAAAAAGTAGGACAAAAAAGATATAGCGTTTATGTTTTCTTAACCTATGTAATTCATAGGATTATGGCATATTGAAGATATAGATTTGCTAATGCCGAACCCAGTGTTATACCTTATAATAAATACATTAATATCCATAAAGTGGCGTAAATTCCACACGTAAAAGTCCCACTTCGTCGCAATGAGGACCCCTTCGAATCGCTTTAAATGTCAAAATCGTGAGACGCTCCGTGTAACGCTGCTGACACGAACGGCCAAATAACTTTTTATTGCCAGTGGATCAATTGATGTTTGTTTAAAGATGCTAAGCTGCCGGTAAAAGGTTTCATCACATGTCGAAACGGTATTAGGAACTTTTTGGAGAACGGAATATAAAGTGTTAGTCAATTATTATAAGATGCATTGTGTTTTAAAATACATAGATAAAGAACTTATATACAACTTATGGGATTGTGTCCAACACAATTTTATTTAAACGACAAACGTACGACGAAGAATAAACAGAAAAAATAATTTTAATAAAATAAATGTTAATTAATAAAATAAATATTCAGATTTTTAATACATTACAATAAATATTGAGTTTTTATTTCGAAGCAGAAATACAATGTCAAGTTAACTTGACAAATCAACGCAGCAGTAAAGTTAATGGGCAAGATGTCAAAAGTAACATTCCTATGGAAATTGTTGTATTTGTGCGAAAAATTGCATTGCTACGCCACCGTGTTCGTGCTGACTCCGGGTTTCCTGATCTTCGAGATGGTTGTAGTGAGGCCAGAGTTGGCACAGATCTACCAAGCTGGCGTCGCTAAGCAAATCCTGCACATATTCCTTTCCATGTTCTGCTTCGTAAACGTCGCCGGGAACATGATGCTGAGCATCTTATCGGATTGTAAACTGAAAATAGGACTACAGACTGCACAAGGAGGGGAGTTCTGTGAACTGTGCCAAATTTATAGACCACCGAAAGCTTGGCACTGCAGAGTGTGCAACGCCTGCATAATTAGAAGAGACCATCACTGCTTCTTCTTCTCGCGCTGCATCGGATTGTATAACATGCGTTACTATCTCCTGTACATCGCGCACATCCACATCACTATGGTCTACTCCTCCTACTACAACTATTACTTCGTTTCGTCCAAGTTCAAGGGGCACGGTTTCGCTTTATCAGCTTTCTGCGTCCTGAATCCTCTGTTACGGTACGTTATAACAGAAAAATTGACTATCAATGACTTTTACGTGCTGATGTTCCTTATGAACATTGGCCTTGTGTTCTGGTCGGGCTTCTTACTGTGGTTCCACGTGAAGAATGCCTTGAGAGGAGTCACGGCGCGCGATTATAGAGATCCAGCGACTCGCAGCTGGAGACAGAACTTCCTGAGTGTCTTCGGGTCAAAGTGGTACTTGGCAATCGTCTGGCCATTTGCTGACAGCCCTGCCATCGAAGAATCGAAGTTAGAAGGCAACGATCACTAGTTAAGTTCTACATATAATGCTATAGTTATGAACTATATTATAGAATTCTTAATAAAGTATTCACTTTTGTCTTTTGTGCTTTTAGCATAGAAAACAACAGTTAAATTTCTCTCAAATGATCGAATACATAAATTTATATAGTTATCATTATACATAATTATATTTATTGTATGTTTATCTTGCAGCATATAGTAATATTATTATTTATAATATGACTAGTATAGTATTTTATGTAAGATTCTTTAATTAAATTTTTCAATGATTCCTCTTTGTTCATTTTATTCAAGGTTGACTAGCAGATAATGCTGAATAGCGATACGTCCGCTCCTGTACATATTTTGTGTGTATAAAGAATAAATAAATAATCTGTTTTGTCGCTACATGAAATTAAATACAGAAATCGATTAAAACTTAACAATATAACCGGACTAAATATCATGCTATATGTTTTTTACCATTCCGATAGAGAGCGCTATAACTTAACAAAAATGTAAACAGCTCTAGCTCTCATCTCAATGAGACAAATTAATAAGATGGTATATTGTCCACTATTTACCCACCATCTTTGAGAATTTCATATATATAAAAACCTTAAATAAAACAGACGCTAAAAAATAAACGATGTAAAAACCTTAAATATTCTGAAAAAAGTTCACTTGATTCGTAGACGCTAGAAGTCCGCTAGGACATAGAGCCGTTAGAGCACGTAACAGTTACGTAAGCGGCCACGCAACCAGCGAGCATCGCCGCGCGGCATGCTAATGGCTTTGTGCAGGAAATCGGCGCACGCGACCACATTTTCTATGACCATCAACAAAAATACGCTGCATATATATATATCACTGAGGTATTAAAAAATTCAGAAAATAATTTTAAAACGATAATCCCTCGATCTCTATCTATAGATATCCATCCCCAGGGGAGCAAAGAAAGGGTATATGGTCGTAGTTACAAAGAAGACTCTTCCTTAAGATCCATGTTCGTAAAGTACCTTTACGATCCATTTGTGTGGAGAATGCGTTATAAAATCAATGCGCATTAATAACAGTTCAATATATGTCTAATAATGTAGTCGAAAAGTTAATAACCGAATATATGCCCTTTCTGGGTAAAAAAAGCATAAACATATTTTTTTTTATTTCATCATCATCGTCACAACCTGTTCTAGTCCACTGCTGAACATAGCAGCACTCCAAACAGTTACGAAGCATGATCCTGAGCCACCTGCATCCATCGAGTCACACATTTACACAGGTCGTCTCTCCATCTAGTAGCGGTCGTTACACCGTAGTGTTGTATACGGGGCTTCGACTCGAAAATCATCTCGCAAGCCCACGTTTCACTCAGAAAAACTATTTCATGAGCGAAGGTGGAAGGAATGGCTTGAATTTGTTTCGCTGACCTGCAAGACCGTTATCGGTTACCTCATCCAACGGAAGTAATGCAAAATTATAATTGCGTCAATCAACGCTGGTATTCTTAAGTCGAGATATTTACCTGGGCGATCGGGGTTAAAAAAAAATTAGGAATATTAGCTAAATCAATTAATTTATTATAAATTTATTGAGATATAGTACTTCCAACCAAGAGATTTTTCTTTATTTGGGAAGGTGGCAAGCAAGCAGGCTAGGTTGTTAGGATGCAACACGTCCCGAGTGTTATAGCGGGACATTTTGTAGCAAGATGTGAAGAACAGCAGTCCAACTCTGCAACAGCTAAATCTTGTTGCCCGCATACAACCGCCGCAATAAGATGGTACGTAATTTCAGCCCGTACCAAGTTCCCAGTACGGGAACAATAAGAAGCGCAGTTAAAGTTTAGGCGCAACTATAAATTTGTAATGCAAGGAAATAATGCGACTCCCTGCATCAAGACGAACCGTCTGCTTATCGCGAGGTTTGAGCGTGAGGTCAAGGTCTATAAGTAGGTACGCTTGCGATAGGAATAAACATTACTGGCGCTTTTATGAGGGAGAAAGTGAATTAGTTGCCGTTAATAAGACGACCGGATAGTTTATATACGAAAGGGTGACACTCGTCTGGTTGTATGTATAATATTTTTTTTTTAATTTCAAACTGGAAGATTTAGTAATAACGACATGGTCGTTTTAATATATAAAACAAACATAATATAGCTATTTGTTAACATATGGTTAGATGTTGTCATGTTGCGAAAGAACTGAAAAACTGACATAAACCGTCTGCCATTAGCAATGTCAGTTATGTTACGACCTCCAAACGTTTGTGTAAAGTTGAATATTAGACAAATTACATTAACGATGTGCCATTCACGGAAGCAAGCGCGTTACCCAAAACAATGTGCAACGGCACCCACTATTCCGGAAACAGAAATATAGCGAGTTGCTGTTAAACTGTTTAGCGTTGCGAACAAACTTGTAAAATATTAACAAATACAAGTACGGTAGTTCCTGATTTATAATTGCACATATCTTTTGCCAGTCACAACACAATTACGTACGAAAACGAAACTCAACTTGTATTGAAGATCACCGCCTACTTCTGTTTGATTAACAGCTAATTTTTAGGAGCACAATACTAGTTAATTTATAATACTACTAGTGTATTTATGGAAACTAACGGATCCCTTTGTATAACAATACAAGTAAATAAATAAAAGTACCGATTTGTTGAGATGTTCAAAACTACGTATTCATATTTTGAAAATTGGGCTCCGGCTACCTCACTCACCGGACGAAACGCGAAAGTATTTGTCATACCTCCACTTTACGCCGGCAAGTGTGGTGACCGGGGCCCAATTTTTTAAAGTTTAACGCATCAACAAGCCCTCGAGTGTTGCCCATTGGCGGCGGTCTTCATTTAACATCAGGTTAACCGCCTACTGGCTTGTAGTCTTTTCACATAAAAAAGGTTATGGATAATGTACTGCCTCATTTCATATTGCATCGATTACTCGTACATAAGCTCTAGAACGCGTTATTTTCCGTAGTCTTATAGATTGATTTAGATAAGTAGATATCAAAGTTGCCTATGCTTATCTAATGGTAATAAATGACAATTATATTTTTCTAGCTTTCCGGGTACGAGTCGTAATGACATTATAAACGGCACATATAAGTTAATTTGAGTGAACCACTTTCGCTTCACGATACACCATCGTAAATCCAACGTTTACCCGTTTGCATATAAACAAGCTACTATGGACCTTAAACCCATTGCTTTTAGAGTTAAAACATCGTATCCGAAGCTGTCAGTGTGTTGGCACTATGTTTATGGAAATTTGTCTTTTATCTTACAACCCCCTTAAGGTCTATTATAGCTTGACACTGTCGATAAAAATGACACGAGTTCGTACAACCGTAGGGTACGCGTTTTGCCGTTGCGATTTCGTAATCGCGTTTCCGTATGGGAACGGAAAAGCCGATATAAATAAGTTACGGTGCCTGATTTATTCGATGTTAGCACGATAAGTTTACGAGCACCGTATACGTTACCTCTGGTTATAATAAGCGTGGGACACTTTCACTAGAAATTTTATGTACGTAATACTGACGGTAATATCTTCTTAGATTATTCAGATCGAATAACTGCGTCCATAACTTTTATACCACGGATAGCTCGAGTGGGTGACACAGGAGCATTCAATTTTTCTGGTATTAAATGATCAAGTGGTAAGGTAGTCTCCGGTTATCTCTTTTTAAGGGCAAAAGGTTACAGATTGATTTTTTTCTTTTAAAGCATAAGCATTAGATGACTCTGTGGTGCAGTTGCCAAGGTATTGGCTTCGGCGTCGGGGGTCGTGGGTTCGATCCCCACACGGGACAACTATTTGTGTGACCCATAGATAGTTGTTTCGCATCTGCGTGTTTGTCTGCGTGAAATTTATGTTTGTAAAACGTCCTTACAACACAGGATAATATTATCCTAAAGTAAGGACAGTGTCTAACCAAAAAAAAAAAAAAGCATATGCAATGAACAACATAATTTGCTTAGTAAAAATTCTTATACGGATTATGGATAGGTACAATAAAAGCACCTTGACTTGCTGACGATTTATAATTTTTTTATATGTGAAAAGGTGGCAGGCGAATTGGGGATTCACCTGATGTTTGGTGATAACCGCCCATGGACATTTAAAACGCCTAGGCTTACAAATGCGTTGCCACCTGTAAAGTAGACCCGGTTACTTCACTCATCACACGAAACGCAGAAGTATAATAACACTTCCACTTCACGCCGGTCTTCTGTGAGGTCACGGTACTTCCCCGGACGTAGCTTGTAGTTTATTTTTAATAAGCTGTCTTTTTATGTAAAAGTAGTAATTACTGGGGAATTTTTGAATTTACTTATGTACATTTTCATTGACTATATTTTTTTTGAATACTGAGCGACCGTAAACCTTAAATAATAATTAGTTTGAAATAAAAAATTCGTTCATATCAATAGCTTCCAAAATTCAATGTTTTAATACTTAATGCCATTAGAAGCTTATATTTGCCGCTGTAAACTAAAATAGACACAGAATAAAATTAACGTTTCCTTAAAAAAACTTTCGTTTAAAAACTTCTTACAGGAATGTATGATCAATGCCATCTATTGACAATTTATGCAGTAGACAAACTTTATTCTTCAAAATAAGATAACCTCCATTAACAAGCACTTATTAGCACATTACTATATTACAGTGTACTAAAATATCGACTATGAAAAACAACTACAAAAAAGTTAATTGGACATGCGTGTTAAAAGTTGAAGTAGATATACAAATAAAACTACTTCAAAGAAATTTGCTAAAGCTATTCGTGTGTTGTATGTTAAAAATTAAATAAGAAATCGCTTTTACTACTTAAACTAAACTGTGTACGACAAATATTGTTTCTACGTATTGTCTATCCGATTACAGTTTTATTTTTATAACATCCTTTTGACTAATTGACAAATGTATATTGAGGACGTCTGAGATAGAGTCTTAAGATACAGTTTGGGCTAAATGGCATAATTCGTTTAACACTCGAAATG